TGGCTACATGTACAAGTATATTGACCACGAAGTCTGTGAAACTGAGAACCACGAAACCTTCCACATTTACAATTTGTACATGTACATTTACAATTTGTACATGTACATGTAGGTGGCTACTTGTACATGTACATGTATGTCCTCCTTTTTCTCTCTTTAGGTAAACTCACTAAGGCCCAGATAAAGTCAGGATATGCAGCATTGAAGAAGATTGAGGGTTTAATACAATCTGGTAAAACTAGTGGGGACCCTCTCTTCAAGGCTTGTGATGAGTTTTATACAAGAGTACCTCATGACTTCGGGTAATAGTCCACACAATAATGAATTAGAATACACTGTCTGTACTAAGAATAGAAAAGTTTTGATTCATATAAGCTCCCTAATTTGATGAAAGAAGCAAAGGCTAGCCCATGCTTTTTCCAAAAAATGGCTCTGAAATCACCCCAAATTTTATTACATTTTCTGATACACATTAATGTCCTTATGCTGTGTAGAAAGTTTGAGTTGATTCCGACAAATATTTTTCAAGTTATGGCTATTTTAAGAAATTGGCAACTTTTTGAAAAATACCCAAGGCTATAGCCCATGGGTTTTTCCAAAAAATGGCTCCAAAATCACGCCAAATTTTTATTACATTTTCTGATACATATTGATGTCCTTATGCTATGTGGAAAGTTTGAGTTGATTTCGACAAATTTTTTTTGAGTTGATTTCGACAAATTTTTTTTGAGTTATGGCCATTTTAAGAAATCGGCCAATTTTTGAAAAATACCCAAGGCTATAGCCCATGGTTTTTTCAAAAATGACTCTGAAATCCCCCCAAATTTTTATTTCATTTTAAATAATATGATTTTATATTTCTTACAGTAAATTGATTTTGGTTTATAATCATTATTATTATCAAGAGTAGATAATTAACTAATACTCTTGTTATTATTTATATTTTTCTTTACTCATTTTATAGTATGAGGAGACCTCCATTAATAACCACTAGAGAAGAAATAAAACAAAAACTAGCTTTATTAGAGGTAAACTAACAGCAATAATAATAGTTATTATTATTACTATTTTTACATAATTAGCGTAAATTTTATTGCAAGGATTTACATGTACAATGTACATACACATACAGTTTTAACATCCAATATTAACTGTACCGCTAATAACTTATTGAATTAACTTACACTTCTAAATAAATTTCTTATTGTCAGAATGTATCCTCTATTAAGCTAGAATGTGTGTACATGCACATGTACATGTATGTACATGTGCATGTACATACATGTACATATGTCTCCGCTTATTCATTTTAGATTTTTATGCATCATTACAAATATACAATGTACATGTATACTGTTGATCTGTCTCCCTCCCTCTCTCTCTCTCTCTCTCTCCCTCTCCCTCTCCCTCCCTCCCTCTCTCTCCTCCAGGCAT